CTGGTTGTTATTCTTCTATTAGTTTTTTCCTCTTCATTTTATCTCTTATTGTTTTAAAACCAGGAATCCACGAAAAGCTAAGGCAGAGGGGGCAGGTTGAGCAAACCAAGTTCAAAGGTGGCTCTGTCAATTTTTTAGTGATAGTCAACCTAATATAACTTCCAGAATGTGAGGAAGATTCACAAGTACCTTACTTAAAAACACTTCAGACCTAAAAGTCATTTAGTAAATAAATGTGTTCATTGACCCTTTCCTTCATTTAGAGAATTAATGCCAATTGATTCTGAGATCAACCAAGAAGGTTTTACCTCATTGTTGAGTTTTAGCTCTAATAAAATAGGAATATTTTGACATGGAAAATGCCCCAACCCTCAAAAATGAGCACTTTGCCCTAGGAATTCTTGTAAGAGCTGGTGGGAACCCCTTCTTAAGTATACATGTAGGTGTGGAAGGAGACAACTGCACAATTGAGTGAGAGTGAACAAGTTTTTCCTACTATTCCTGGGTCTCTTAGAGCAAATAGACATCCCAGCATTTTCCTGGCAACTTCCTAGGCTCGGTTGTTGAGGGAAAGCACTTGAGCAAAAACTCTCAAATTGTGGTCCCTGGAGTACACCTGAGAAGTGGTTAGAAATGCAAATTATCAGACCCCACCCAGGCCTACTAAATGAGAAATCTGTACTTTAGCAAGCCTTCTAGATGGTTCTGATACAAGCTAACATTTGAGAACCACTGCTCTAAATAAAGTGCTTTGCCCACTTTTTTTTTATTAGCAGACTTTTTTTCTCAACATTGGAGTCATCAATTCTCTGGCTTCCATTTCTGCCCAGGCAGAAATGCTGTCAAATGTGCAGTTCTTTGTAACAAGCCCAGTCTTTCAAACTGGGCGCGGCCTTGCTTTGTAGACAGTATTTGCACACTGACTAAAGCTCTGACAATCCGTCTGACACAGACTACAGTTCCCGTGCCAAACCTCGCTGCTGGGAGTAACACCTTAAATAAAGGCCTTCAGCTATTTCATTTTCATAGTTGGTTTACTGTGTTCAAGTTCCCTTTTGTTCTATGGAAATGGGCCTAAAGTGGCTTCACCAGGGCAGAATCACAGGCACCTATATCTGGGGATATTGAAATGGAGCAAAGTTTCCAGTAGAGCCAACAGAACTGGTTTTGGAGAAATAGACTCAGTACACACAGAAGGAACATTAACTTATCGGCACGTCAGGTAATAGCTTGTTAATGATCATTGGCAAATTCTATTGGAATTGCTTATTTACTCATAAAAATTTACAAGTGAAACATGTTTGGACTACAATGAGCAATCTGCAGGATTTTCAGGGGTGGTGCCAAATTTAATTTTTGTAGTGTCAAAAATGTGCTAAATATTTTTCCTTTACCGTTGGTTCTCCTGGTGTTTGTTTTGGGCTATACAGTAGTTTTATTGTGGAGGATGCCAGAGGAAAGTGCACGCCGCATTTCTGTTCAGCCAGAAACAGATTGGAAATTCATGAGAGGGGTTTCTCCTTCATTCCCATCCATCTGCTAGTCTCCTATGCTCAATGAAGAGGTTGGAAAGTACAAATCCTAAACACCAGGAAAGATACAGAAGCCAACATGAGGGGTTTCTTTCTGTTTCTAAATTTTAACAGGCTTTGAGGAGGATTGGGAAAGGTGAAGGCCCAAACACATTCTCCTTCCACAGAACAAGTCAGATCACCTGCCACGCTACATGGGGGTGATTTGGTAGGTTTTTAATTAATATTCACCTGGTGGCTTTAATAATGGAGCATCTCACTGACTAGGTAAGCTTTCAAGTTATCCACCAAATTATTGGTTGCCTTGTGGGAAACTCTTTTAACAAATTCTATTGGGAGAAAAGATACATTTTCAGTGGTGGTGACCAGTGGGCTTGAACTATACAAGGCAAAATAAGGTATCTAGCCAGGATAGGCAGAGCTGTGTCCCAAAAAGTAGTTACTGCCTCTGTTGACTTTAGAATTCAGAGTCCTTGGGCCTCCCTGGTGGCGCAAGGAGTTAAGCACCATACTATGAAGCAATCTGCAGCCTCTGCAGCACAAGTTCAATCGCCGGCTGGCCAGGGAGAAACCCACATGGCAAGGCAGACCTCTCCTGTCTCGCCCGCTGCTCCCCTCAGCAGTGTATTTCAGTCAGTCTGCCTGTTCTGTTCCCCACTCTGTCTCTGGTGGATCCTCTCACCTGTCCGCTCATCTCTGGCCTGTACCCTGGTTCTTGTATGCATAAATAAAACTTTAAAAAAAAAAAAGAGTTATAGAATTCAGAGTCCTTGAGATGGACCTCAGCAAATCAAGGCATTTATTGGCAACCCAAATATTCCTACAGTTTTGCTTCCACCTTAGCTCAGTCATGTCATTTTGGGGCTCCTTTACCCTCCAATCTTGAAATAGTGTAAAACTTGACCAATCCAGTCTCCAGGCATGAAGATGCAGTGATCTGAGATCCCTCTGGGGAATTTGGAATTGATATTGCTAGTCCATGAACTGGACTTGCTTTCTTGAACTGAGGTGTGTAATCTCAAGTACTGCAGGAAACCTTAAACTTTGAGAAGATAAACAGATCTGCCGAGAGGAAGAATAGAGCACGAGAAGAGAACACTGGGCTTTGAGAGCTGAGAAATCCCTTACCATCACCTTCTAGCGACAGGTCCCTTTCCTCCTGAGGCCTTACTCTGCTAATGGGCTTCTTGAGAAACACCACACCTTTATTATAATTTGCCTTTTTTTTTCTTCCTGAAAGCAAACAAGCTAAAAGCATTTTACTTCTTGCAACCTTCTTGTTTAGACAAAGACCGGTGGTGGCTCCCAGGATTTGATCTCACTCTGTGAGCTGACAGTGTGGCCCTGCGTGTTAAAATAGAAGGAAGGCCAGGAAGCATCTGTATTGTTCATTTGGAGTTGCCAGAATGGACAACATACTCATTCCCATATATGCATTTTACTTACTGTTTTTGAGAGACAAATGCTTTGCCTCCACTCTCATTTAATTGCTCCAAACATATGAGGGGTACTCTGATAGGTTCTGTAATTTGCTCAGAAATGTAGTGATGGGAAATGGCAGAGCCATGACTGGGGGGATTCAGAGCTACCTGGCTGTGATGCAAAAGGTGCAGAGAACATTCTTACCTGGGTCAGCCTCAGGGAGTATCGAGGAGGCCTTGGCTCCAGCTGTTGCTTCAGAAAGGCTTTCAGAAATCTCTCTGCTCTAGGCTTTCAGTAGAAGGGGGAAGTGTGCGTAGATGATTGCGAGGAGGGTCAATTGAACTTAAATTAGCCTCTTCATTAACAAGCACCTACAGTGATTCATTTCATATTAGCATTTGTCCTTAATGTCTTTATAATAAGTCGTAAGAATGAGAAGATGATGTTACAGCAAGACTTTTCTATACGCAATCCTTTGAGTTGGGAGGCGAAGTCCATTCCCCGAGACTCAGAGGCTGGGCTGCTTTATACCTGGTGCTTACCTGAGGAAGCATATGGTGTGCTGATTGTCCTGGGCATGAAATGGTGTGCCAGCCTCTGTGGGCTCATTGCCAGCTTCTACAAACTCATGATCTGGGCTTCATTTCTTCTCAGTGCTGGTAGTCTGTGGGTTGCCTTCAAAACCTGGAGCCATCCCTTCCCATCCCAGGATGGGGCTTCCTGCCAGGTGCTCTAGAGAGCAGTTTGCGGAGGCCCTGCCCTTGGAACGCCAGCACGGCTGTGACAGGAAGTCTGTTTATGCTTGTCTTTGGGATTTGATTAAGAGCATGATATGCACATGCTGGCAAGTGGTTACGGTCATTTGTTAAGAACATATAGAGATAGCTTTGACATTTTTTTTTTTAAGATCTTGTCACGGCGAAACCTTTTTCCCTCCTTGGAACAATTTTGACTTTGTTCCTGGAGATCAAAGTAGACAGAGCCTTCACAGCTCTGCACTCCAACATTCCCAAAACATGTGTTCATGTTCCAAAGCTCCCTAAACTCAAGGGAATTACACAAGTTCGTGGACTGTAATGAATATGATGAATTTAGTGCCCCAAGCCTTCTGTCTTCTCCATCTTGTTGCATGCATGCCTCATTTCTCATGATGCTAAGAGATAGTTGAAAAGTGTTTTCCATGATGTCATCTTCGGAGTTTGTGGGTTTTTTCAGTTGATTGTTGCTTTTGTTGTTGTTTGTTTTTTACCTCCCTAGGTAAGATCCTACCTTCTCCTTTGGTTAATTTTTTCTTCCCCTAGTTTTACATGCAGCTGCATGATAGAATACTGTTTTCTTTTCTCAGATAAAATTAAATACTTGGTGCTTTCCCAAGTCACTGTTCAGGTTGAATGAGCCCCAGAAAATGCAAGAATATATTCTAACAGTTGTAAACAGGAGTATTCTAGGATGCGTAAAAGTACTCATGTCATTGGTGATTTTTAATTACACGCTCTGTATCCCAGATTTAGTGACTCTTCTTTCTGACAGATGTGAACTACTCCCTGTCCCTACAGAGAGCTCAACACCTGGAGGGCTTTTAGTGTAGGTGGAGGCTGAGGTACCCAGGACTTCCCTGAGTCAAAGGCTGGCTTCGACTCCAGTGCCGAGGCAGGCGCTGACACATCCCTTTGGCTCCGGAGACACATAGCATGCTGGAGACTAACAGAAAATGGTAAAGTCAGCTCTCCGGGAGCCTGCTGAGAAAGCCCTACCCTCCGGGTTCACCAACTTGTTTGCCGAATTCTCTTTTTTCTAGGAAAGTTTGCTGGCTTTACTTGTCCCGTAGAGGGAAAGTGCCAAGATAGAGCTGATCTGTCTGACTCTTCTATAAGGATGAATGTCTCTGCCAGAAGAAACTCTTATGCTTTTGCGCTCCACGAAGGGTGGGGACAGCGGGAAGTAGACTGTGTCCTGCCTGCTATGGGAGGCATCTTCCCAGGAAGTGCGAATGGGCAGGAGGTTTTGAGTAACAGGCAAGTGATCTGTGTTCTTTCCATCCATCAGGTTCACCAGTATTATAGCTGTCTCCCGGAAGAGAAAGTTCCTTATGTCAACAGTCCTGGAGAGAAACTGCGAATCAAACAGCTATTACACCAGCTGCCACCGCACGACAATGAGGTAAGGGGCTAGTGGGGGCTCGTGAAGACTTCCTTTAGAACCTTCTGTGAATCATTTTCATTATCAAAATGCTGTGATCAGTGAGATCCCCAAAGAAAAACTCTGGCAATTTGTTTAAGGTTTTAGCTTCCTTAATTGGAGCCAAAAGGAACTCTTGGACATCTTCGGGAGAGAGTTACGGAAAAGCAGAATCTCATTATGGACTGGATTCGCCTCTGTGCTGGGCACTAGAAGCTATTTTGGGATAACCAGGGCACACTAAAATTTTAGAGCTCAAGTCCAGGTTTTCTCAGTTGAAAAAGAATGTGCTGGTTGCCTAAGTACCTTAGATGATTGAGATTCCTTGGGCCAATTCAGAACCTGAAAAAACTTTGTGACTCTCTTGAATTTTCAGCATCATTTCATATTAAATGAGTTTGCAAGTTTTCCACGTTATGCTGCAATAAAAGTTACATGTCCAGATTTGCAGCTCTGAACATCTGGGTTTTTATTGTTTAACATCTGAGTTGCCAGGGTCATCGTTTGTACTATTGAAGGGAAAGCTTGCAGGCTGTGCTCGTTCTGAACCCAGACACAGCTCTGGACGAGGGCACTTCTTATTCTTATCTTTGAAGTCAAGTGGATCAGAAAGGAAAATTAGTAAATATGCTTTTGAGAGATTGTCACACTGGAAAGGTTTAGATTTGTAAACTACAAATTAATGCTTAAGTATCTGGTTTTTAAAAATAGTAGTCATCCTATGGAATTGAACTGCCCACCTCACTTTTGAAGAATGGCATCAGTTTAAACCCAAAGGAGACATAACCCCTTGAACCTCTCTAGGTGGACACGAAATTTCTACCAACTGCACCTACCTCAAGCTCCATCCAGGGGAAATGAGTGAATGCCTTCCTTATCTTTATATTCCCACACCTGAATAAAAAAGAACAAAAGGCTCAAAAATAAATTGAAGTGAAACAAAAGCTGAAAAACTGAAGCAGCTGCCTAGAAAGAGTCCAGCTCCCTTTTCCTGTTGCTTATTTCAGACTTCCTAAAACAAATATAAATAATGCTTTCTCCTTTAAAGCTGAGTGCAAGCATTGTAACCCGATGCCCAGTTAACTAATTTGGAAGTGAAAATGCGGGTTTTTACAAGCAGGAGGGGTGTGCCTTTCTTTAAAAGCGTGTCTATAAAATGTCAGCGGCGTAACGTAATATTCTGGGCTGTGCATGTCATTGCAGTTCTCTCTCTGGGACAGCCACATGAAGACTTATTTGATACAGGAAAGTGATCTGCTCTCCTCTGCTTGTAATGGTTTCTTCTGTTTACAGTTAACTGTGGTTTCATGAAAAGAGACCATTCAAATTCCTTCTTCCTGTTGGTGAAAATTCCTTACATATGACCCAGTGGATTGCTTTGGCCCATTTGACACAACCCTTTTGCAGACAAAGGGTGATTCTAAAATAAATAGTTAATCCTTTTCTTTTTCGCGCAGATAAGACAATTTTGATATATACAGTTGTGCTGGCTTTCAAGTCAGAATGCAACAGTCTAGTTCAAAGCTTTCCCTCTTACCAGCCATGTGACATGCCCTCTGAGCAAATCCATTAACCTTTTCTGATGCCCAGAGTGCTGTAAAGGAAGACAGGAGGTAGGACTAGGACCTGAAGTACGTTGGGTATATGACCCCACGTAGTGCATGGGTATGGTGGTAAATAAATTCAAACCACATAATGAGAGAGTTGCTCCTGTTTAAATTGTTTCATTCCTCATAATTGAAAGAGTGACTAGTCCAGGGGAAAACTGTGATTTGGTGCTCACTTTTCCCTCACTCATACTAGCTTCACTTTTAAGTAACAGCATTAAAAATCATCATGTCACAAACAAAAGTCATCAGCTAGAACCTATCAAGGCAGTTTTGTTCTCATTATTTTATGGTCACCTTCTAGTTTTTGCAGGTGATACTGGTTTTCTATTTATAGACAAAATTTGTTTTCATTTTCAGTAAAAGTATTCAAGGGGGGGTGGGGAAGTCAATTTTAGAAATCTTACTAAGTAAATAATAGTTCAAGACTATGGCAAAATTCCCAAGACATGCATAAATAAGGGAGAGAATGGGAAATACTGAGTTGGAAAGTCTGTAATGTTCCTCTTTTAATTCTGTGCTTCTGTGTTTAACAAAAGGTAAAATTTCTTATGTGAGTTGACACATTGGCCAAAGCCCAGAAGGCAGTCCTTTCTCTCCTGCACATACAGGGACTTGTGTGAAGCAACCCAGGTACCCCCTGAACCAACTGCCAAGCCTTTGGTTCCCCCTTTCCCCAAAAGGAGCTGGGGAACAGAAGCCAGGAACACATTGACAGCTGTTCTGGCTCATATGTTGGGTGCTGTCCTGAGCTGTCAATGATCACTTCCATGGGCACATGAAAATGATAGTCATAGAACCTCACAGTCAATTTGAAAGCAGGAGAAACTCCCAGATGTTGACTCGCATCAGAGCTGTCCCTGATGATTAGGGTCTTAGCATGGTGAGCAGAGTGGGGGAGTAAGATAAAGAACTGTTACAGCTTTCCATAGTGGTTGGACCAGTTTGCACTCCCACCAGCAATGCAGGAGAGTTCCTTTTTTTTTCTTTTTTTTCTTTTTTTTTAGCTGTGTGCAGATTCCTCAACCTACTAAAGATAGAGCTTCCATATGATCCAGCAATTCCACTCCTAGGTATTTACCCAAAGGACACAGAAACATTAATTCCAAAGAGCACCTGCACCCTTATGTTTATAGCAGCACTATTTACAATAGCTAAGCTATGGAAGCAACTCAAATGCCCAAAAATAGATGACTGGGTCAAGAAGATGTGGTACATATACACCATGGAATATTACTCAGCATTCAAAAAAGATAAACTCATGCAATTTGCAGCAACATGGATGGAGCTGGAAGGGCTCATGCTCAGAGAAATAAGCCAGAAAGAAAAAGAAAAATACCTGATGGTCTCACTCATAGCAGGAATCTAGAAAACCTAAATAAGGGACCGGGAAAAAGAATAGCTATAAGAAAGAAAAAATCAAAATCAACAAACAGCTATGGACCAGAGACACACTATGGGGGGCGGGGGCGGGGGCAGGAGGAATGGGGTCAAAATAAGGGGGTTACAATTGTATGGGGAATATAAAAATAAAATTAAAAAAAAAAAGAACTGTTACAGGACCATTCACCTGCCCAAGATTTGGGCTCCAGAGTTTAGAGCCCCTCGTAAGCTGTTTTGACCATAGAGATTCTCTTTCAATAGCCCAAGCCTGCTTGTGTAGACAAGATCTCTAAAACCAAATGGGAGCATCTTTAATGAGAAAGCTCTGAGGCACTGACTTCTGGAATCCTGAGATGCTCAAGTCACCTCCTCCTTGCCATCCTTGTGCCTGTGCAGGTCCGGTATTGCAACTCCCTGGATGAGGAAGAGAAAAGGGAGCTGAAGCTGTTCAGCAACCAGAGGAAGCGTGAAAACTTGGGTCGTGGGAATGTCAGGCCCTTCCCAGTCACCATGACAGGAGCTATATGCGAGCAGGTGAGTGTGGCTCCCGGGGAGTGATGAGGCATTCTTGCACTCATTCATTCATTCAGTTACTTCACTGAGCGCCAGCTCTATGCCAAGCACAGCTCTAGCAGCGAACAAAAGAATTAAAAACTTGCCGTTGCCCTTGTAAGGGGTTATGTTCAGGGGGACAAAGTCAGACAACAGAAAGAAAGGAGGAAAAGAGGGTGGAAAGGAGGGTGGGGAAGAAAGAAAAAAGAAGGGGAGACCTAGAAAGAGCAGAGCAATGATATACAAGAACTGCGGGAGCGAGTGTCGTGGATTTTGGGGCAGGGGGGACAGAGAGCTTAAAGACCAAGATAGGAGCATTTTTGTTGTGCTCCAGGAACCACAAGTTGGTGGTGTGGAGAGGAAAGGGAAGAAAGGGAGGGAATTGGCAGATAGTCAGAGTTCAGGGCAGGCCAGATCATTTGGGAGTAGTAGGAGCCATGGAAGGAGACAGCCACTGAAGAATATGAGCAGAGAAATGACTCAATGGTGTTACTATATTCAAATGAATCCTTTTAAAAACAGAGTTTTCCTGCACCATGGGTCAGCCTCTTTCCCAGGATCATCTCAGGACCAGTGCCATCAAAAGGGGTGGTTCTTGGGTTTGAGGGTTCCTCAACGAAGTTCCCCTGCATTCTCCCTAGGACTTCACTGAGTTAGAGTCTGGATTTGTTTTTCTCACACTTCTGTTGAATGCTCAGCGCGTAGTAGAGGAGGGTTTAAAGAAAGCAGAGTGCGACTCGAGCCTGCCTGGGCTCTCTCATCCTACTCTCAGCTGCCAGAAGCCTCCCAGTACTGACCCTACCCTTCTCTTAGCCCTAATGTTCTTTCAACAGCCCCATCTCATGCCTTAAGTTCCAGGTATTGAAGACAAGTGTGCTGAATCAGTAAAGAGAAAGCTATTTGCTGAGGAGACTGAATGCCACTGGGTGGCCCTTTTTGAGATTTCAGAGGGATCAGATAAGAAGATTCTGGTGGGTGGAGTGGAGACACTACTTAATTAGGAGAGCCAAAGCACTGGGGATTTAACAGTAGGGTCTTGATCCTTGATACCCTCTCTTGAGATGGAGAGCGTCACTGATTGAGACGTGCGATTCAGAGTAGTTACTGCAGGAGCTCTGCCACTCTTCAGTCTCTTCTAACCAGCTTGGCTGGGCTCATCCAAGGCCAAAGGAAGGTCAAATATTTCATAGTGACAACGACATGCAGGCAGGAAGACATCAATTTGACTCGTGTTTCAGCCAAATGACCCTGACCACGTGGCTTTTCTTTATTTGCATCATCTGCAAAATGGGGTAACAAATGTCTGTGTCACAGAATTCTGGTGAGAATTAAATGGTGTATTAAAGTAATTAAACAAGGAGGTCATGACCTTGAGGTGACACTGATGCCTTGGTTTCCTACGTAACTCCTAAGCCAGAATCAGCGTACTAGAATCAGAGAAAAAGAAACTTAACCAATCACAAATAGCCAATTAGGCTTTCCCACATGTGGCAGCCATTTAAACTGTAATCAATCAAATTTCCTTACTTTGCTTCCCTGTAAGAACCCCTCCTCTAGCCCCTGTCAGTGGAATGCTCATAACCGCTTTTGCTTTGATGCTCCGCAATTCAAATCAGTGTTTGCTCATTTAAACTCAAAAACATTATTGTGCCTCAGTTTATCTTTCAATAGTATGCATACCCCACCCAGTTCTACATCTGTTGTAAGACTGGGGTAGTAAGCTCTGTTCCATATTGTCCTTCTTTAATCTGTCACTCATTTGAATGAGGTCCCAGAAACAGGTCCATGAGACTTTTCTCTGAAGTGTTCCACTCCAGCTGGTGTCCATATATGGTGTGGAAAGGGTAGGAGGTCGTTTCTCTACTCTTTAGACTTGCTCCCCACAGCCCAGTCACTGTTGAACTGAGGCTGTGAGCCTCGTGCCAGTGCCATAGCCTGCACAGTTCCTCCCCCCTGGACCCGCTGCTTCCCATTTTACTCTTCCCTCAGACACCCTCTGTCCATATTTGTTTTATCTCAACCAGCGGAAGCATGAACGATAAGGGATTCTGCCTTGTTCCTTTCTGGATAAAGTAGAGAGCCTTAGAAAATGAGCAAGCAGACAGGGAAGGGATAGGGAAGAAGCACTTCCCATAGGCTGACCTTAAAAGTGGTGCCTTTTCAGTCAAGACTGTAAAAGCACATTAGGGGATGTAGGCCAAATGTGGGAAAGGCATGGCTAAAAATAGTTAAAAGTGGGTGCATTGTTATGTATCCCCTCCCTCTACTGGGCAGTCCTCTCCCCTCCTCCCAGCCCCCTCCAAGGCCCCTCTCCCACCCTGACTGCACAACCTTTCCTCCTGGGGGCAAACTTGGCTATGCCTCGGGATGGAGTTTAGAGTATCTGAAAGAGAAGGAGACTTTTGCTCTGTAAGTTGGCCTCCTGCCTGCAGAGTTCCTGTATGTTATACACTAACCAAGTTTTCCTTTCTTTCCCACCTCTGTGAGTCCTTATTTTCTCAGTTACTCTATCTTCATCTTGTGTGTAGGCCCCAAAAGAAAGGGGGGTTGGGGAGGTAAGGCAAACCTGCCAGCCCCACAGTGAATAGCTTGAAAATGAGTGCTGCTGGCGGTGGCTGTTGTTTGTCACTCAGGTGTGGCTCTGAGAGACAGGGGCTGGTGTCCCCCCACTGACCTTTCCGCTTGCCTCGCAGTGTGGAGGGCAGATTAATGGCGGAGACATCGCTGTGTTCGCGTCTCGCGCCGGCCACGGCGTTTGCTGGCACCCACCTTGCTTCATATGCACCGTCTGCAACGAGCTCCTGGTGGATCTGATCTACTTTTACCAAGACGGGAAGATATACTGTGGCAGGCACCACGCCGAGTGCCTGAAGCCACGCTGTGCTGCCTGCGATGAGGTCAGAACACACTCTGGGGGGCGGGCCACCCTCCATCACCCCTCAATTGTGCCAGCAGTTTGTCATGTGGAAAGCCAGTGCAAACTCTTCATATGTTAACCCTTTGAAGAGAAGCCCTACTCTTCCTTGGTTGCTAGAATGACCAGGATGTGTCCCCCCCGTCACAGCATGGCAGTCTCTGCAGCTGAGGAGACGCCCATGCAGGATGCCCCTGGTGTGGGTCAGTCCAGAACTCTTTAAAAAGAAAAGGCCTAGTGCACCTTTGGACTTCTCCCCCAACCCCAGGAAATAATCATCTGTAGTACTGTGTTCCTTCCTTTTTTTTTTTTTTTTTTTTTGTGGGACCCTCACCGTTGGCCAGGGAATGAACCGGTGCTACAGAGGCTGCGGGCAGCCTCGCAGCCCAGCGCTCAACCGCTGCGCCACCAGGGGAGGCCCCTGTGTTCCTTCCTTATATCTTAAAATAGTTCCATTTCTCAGGAGTTGATGGGATAGATTGGTTTGAGAAGAGAAGAAAATAGCTAATATAATTTGATATTCCTACCATTTACAAAAGTTCTAATGAGGACTCAGGAGGCAAACAGCTGCTCCCTTTGGGTACCTCTGCCCCACGCTCTGAAATTTGAATTCACTACCCCAGAAATAGAATGCAAGACCCATGACTGGTGTTTTCTCCCACCGAAAGCTCTCCCAGATATGATCTGTAAGCCAAAAGAATACAAAATCTGATGGTTCTAAAAGATGAGAGGCACCCCGAGATGTTTAACTTTGAGCACTTTTATGGCACTAATTTGGGAAATGTTCTTGGGCAAGAGGTTCCTCCTGTATAGAGTAGGTTTTTGGTTCTATCTGACCATGAAAGCAGTAATATGGGACACTAAAAACAATCCCCCTTTTCAGCCAGGGTTCATTATTTTATGAGTCTATCTTCCTTACAGACTGCCTGTAAGATTCACTCTTCTATGCGGAAGTTGACCAGCCTTAACAAGTTTAGGTCCAGTTCTATGATTGAGTAGGTCCAGCTACTTTGCTTCCATGCCTCAGTTTCCACAACTGGAAATTAATCCTCTCTATATGACCTTATGTTATTTCATTGCAAATAGAATATGATGACTTAAATTCTTTGGAAATTTTGCTTATCACATAAAATTTGTATTTCCCTAATGGCTAATAATATGGAAAATTCTCTCATAAGTTTAATGGTTATTTGTATAGTTTCTCTTTTGGAGAAATACCTGTTCAAATACTTTGCCCTTTCTAACTGGATAAGTTTTCTTTTTGTGGAACTGGAAAGGTTATTTATATATTCTGGTCCTTATCAGATATGTGATTTGCAAGTGATTTTTGCCATTCTGGGGCTATATATATTTTTTGACATTGACCTTTGAAGCATAAAAGTCCTTAATTTTGAGGTTATATAATTTATCTGTTTTGTGTTATTGTTGCTTATGCTTTTAGTGTCGTATCTAAGTCATTGTATAATTATCTAAGTTCATGAAATTTTATACCTGTATTTTCTTGAAAGCATTTTATAATTTTTTGCTCTTACATTGAGGTCTTTGGGTTAATTCTTTACTAATTTTAGCTAATTTGAGTAAATTTTTGTATGTGGTGTGAGGTAGCAGTTCAAATTTATTCTTTTGCATGAGGTTATTCAGTTGTCCCAGCATTATTTATTGAAGAGACTATTCTTTCTTCATTGAAAGTATTTACACCCTTGTCAATAATCAGTTGGCCATAAATGTCTGTTTATTTCTGGACTCACAGTTCTAGTTTATTGATCTGTCTATATTCATATCAGTACCACACTGCCTTAATTGTGGTCACTCTACACTTTTAAATCTGTGCTTTAACACTGAAAAAACTCTGTATTAGGGCTTATAACTCAAGGCTTCGGAGGCCTCAGAAGGTATCGTAAATGAAGGTGATTCATTTTAAGGCAAGAGTGAGTGATGAAATATACGACCAACTAGGGAACCCAACATTCATGTGAAAGCACCAACCCCTCTTCTCAGCTCTAGTTTATTGTGTACCAAGTATAGCCAGATATTTTCTTTTTTTTTTGTAAAGATTTATTTATTTATGCATACAAGAACTGGGGTACAGGCCAGAGGTGTGGAGGGTGAGAGGATTCACCAGAGACAGAGTGGGGAATAGAACAGGCAGATCTACTGAAGCACACAGCTGAGGGGAGCAGCGGGCGAGACAGGAGAGGTCTGCTGCACCATGTGTGTTGATCCCTGGCCAGCCGGGGATCAAACTCGTGCTGCAATGGCTACGGATTGCTTCATAGTGCAGTGCTTAACCCCTTGTGCCACCAGGGAGCCCCGGATATTTTATTTTCAAAAGAAACTAGGATTCCAGGTGTTTATATGGCATTGCTCACTCTTTAAAATACCGTGGCTAGACCAAGTGAAACAGATACGTATATCCGAGATGCCAACAAGCTGTCAATTTGGGGGCCTGCCTTACCTTCCTCAGGGTAGAACAGTCTTTCTCATAGTAAAGGTGGTTAAATTAATCACTGACCAGGCCAAAAACCATATTTAACTATGTTTTAGGCAAATCCAAATGTGGGACCTAATGCAGACCTAGAATAAACATATAGAGACATCTTTGTCTAATAATTTGTGGGTGGGATGTATTTTCCTACCCATTTTGTTTGGGACCCCCACAAATCTCTTCCTTTAAAACACACTCTTTTGACTGGGTCTGACAGCACTGACCACTTTGCTTCCCTATCTCCAGATCATTTTTGCAGATGAATGCACGGAAGCTGAGGGGCGGCACTGGCACATGAAACATTTTTGCTGCTTCGAGTGTGAGACGGTGCTGGGTGGCCAACGCTACATCATGAAGGAGGGAAGGCCCTACTGTTGCCACTGCTTCGAGTCATTGTATGCAGAATATTGCGACACTTGTGCCCAGCACATAGGTGAGGCAATGCTTGGCATTCAGCTCTGCCCTGCTGTTATTGGAGCTCTTTGTGTCTGATGTAATTAGAATCTCTTTGGTTGCAAGGAATAGAAATCCAACTCATTCTCACTTAAATGAAAAGGGGAATTTCATGACTCACTACAAAGACCAAGGTGTATGTTGGCTTCAGGTAGGGATAGATCAAGGGCTCAAACAAACTCTGATTTCTTCTCTGTGCCTCATCTCAGCTTACCCTCTGTTGGCATCACTTGGAAGTAAGCTCTCTGCACATGGCAGCCAAAATGACCCTAGTGCCTGATGGTTAATACAGTTTTAGCACCCACCTTCTCAAAGGAATGGTATCAGTCTTTTCCAGGATCCAAGTCAGCTCCTCCAGATAGGAACTGTATAGGCTCTGGTTTAGTCACATGTTCCACCTTGGAAATAAGAAAATAGAGTAGTTCTATTGGTCTGCTTGAGTTGTAGCCCACCCCCCCCCGCCCCACTCCACACCCCCGCAAGGTGGAGCTAAGCAATATAGAGTTACTTTCCACAGGGGAGGAGGGAAAGTACTCAAAAGGAAAATATGAGGAGAAAATGTAAACAGATGTCTTCCACGGTGTCCTTGGAGAGACGCAAGGGCCTCCAGAAGGAAGAACCAAAGCAGTGTTTTTGGTAGGAAGCAATAACCAAGGAAAATAGTTTCTGATCACATGTCTTAAAAATATATATATCAGTAACAACTGATCCAGCCAAAACCAAAGCAAAAGAAATTGAAATAGCTATACATGACAAGCTCCCCAAAATAAGTGGCTGCTCTGAGATGGTGAAAATCATTTTCCTTTGCAAATAACCAATTTGTTCAACCCTTCAACATTATTCCAAATCACACTGCATCTGTGTCTTCTTCATTCAGCTTGCCTGATCTGGCACCTTGAGAATGAGCCGCCCTTTAAAAAAGAAAAAGAAGTTGGCAGTGGATGAATGTCTATGAGACCAGCCGCCTGGTCTTCCTGTGGCTTATGCAATTCCAAGAAATCTGCTCAGAAGCTGCCAACTTCTTACCTATTGTGGGGAGATGTGGAGATAATCAGTCTGGGAACCCATTTTGCTCTGATTTTATCGGAAACTAAAATAAGTGGTTTTTGTCTCCCTGGTTCATCAGAAGTGATGTATTCAAATAACCAAGTAGTTAGTAGTTTGAGAGCATTGTGTGCCGACTGAAAATCTAGCTCTGTGAACAAGGCACCTACTGTGGGCTCTGTGGTCCTTAGTCATTGGGCAATCCCTTCCCAGACTCAGTCCTGTTCCAGGAGGCCTTTCCCAGTGGGAGTCGCTGCAGGACTATCCAAAGTCTTCCTCATGGATACCTGGGGGGTGTCCAGATCTCCTCTCCCCTAACACCTAAATTCCTCACCCCCACAAAGCCTGATGACTCGACCAAGTACCCTACAGCTTTTACTTCTCACGAGATCAAAACAGGCAAACAGACAAACTTCCTTTTCTACTAAGAGCTAGGAAATGGGGAACTTGGTTTTGACAGATGGCTGTGAGGAAGGATGAGGCGACGTGGCAGTTTCAGGAGAAAAGGGTACAACTTCTGGATCCCTCACTGTGGATTCTGGGGCTGCAGGTTGATGTTTGCTTGAATGTAAGTGTCCAGAAAACCTACCTACAGTGATGGTACCCCCTTCCAGTTAGGATTTCTGTTTCTTCTGTCCCTCCCCATTGAGGCTCAGAAGCCTCTCCAGAAACTATCACTTGGAATTTTGCTCAGTGGCCTAGAAGACAGGAATGTGTCTGTTACCCCAGCCTATGCTCCTCAGAAGGCCCCTCTGTTTTCTTCCCTTCTTCTGGCTATTTGAAGCTTTGATTGGCATTTCCTTCTCTGTCCCTCTTAAATCTTTAAAAAGGCATCAGTGTTTTACCAGAAAAGGGCCTCTGTGGCCTGCAGTATTATCACTGCTGTAGTTAAAATGCAGTACCCGATTTTTTCCCTAAATCGACTTTTCTGTAGAATGTCATTTTCCTGCCACAGCGAAAGGGTGTGCTCTGTATATCATGCACACCACAATCTCTGGGTACTTTACTCTGACCATATTATACAAATATTCCATATTTATATAGCCACTCAGAGCGGACCCTGCATCAGGCAGCTGTTGCTAGGGCAACGGTCCTTTTGCCTGCGTGCAGCAGAGTAAACAGTCCTATAAACAGACCGAGGCTGAAGCAGTAGTAGACACATACACCCTCAGAGAAATGCTCAGGGGGCTTAGAGAGGGAATAAAAAAGGAACGCTTAGATGTGGCGCAGCAGAGCCCTTTTCCAGATGTTTAGAGTTCAGGAGCAGTTCAGAGGACCATCTGACATTGGTGATGTTTATCAGAGACCTCGTTCCACTGCCTGCTGGGATGCTCTGTAATGAGCCTCCCCCTCGGCTCTCCCACCCCAACCCAGCCTTCCGTGAGGCCCCCAGCCCCAGAACCAGGGCCCTGTGGAGGCATTTGAGCATGTCTCCTTGCAGAAGCAGGGAAGAGAGGCTGTGGAGGACAGGGCTGCCTGTGTGTGTCTAAGAGCTTGGGTAACGCTGCAGCACTCAGGATGCTGTGCCGAGTAGGAGCTCACTGCCAAGACCCAGGGCAGCTGGCTGGAGAAGAGGGGGAGGGAGAGGAGAGGCGAACAGGGAGGGAACACAGAGCCAGCCTCCTGTCAGGCAGTGGCCCTCTGAGCAAAGGAGGAGACAGGCATTAAGAACTAATCAAAATACAAGGAGCAGGCAGAGGTCTGAACAGTGGCTGGATACCAACTCAATTATTCCCTGCAGCATCCCGATGAATTGATTACTGTTTTTATCCCTTTATACTGCAAAGGAGACTGAGGCACAGAGAGGTGAGGACATTTGCCTAGTGTCTCACATCCAGACAGCATCAGAGCTGAAATGTGAACAGAGGCCGATGAGTTCTCAGCCGCTTTGCAGTGAGCTGGAATGAGATGGGGCGGGAAGATGAACATACGTTAAGACTGAAGCCTCAGTCTTAACTGCTATAGACTTTGGCTTCCTTGAGCTGCCTGTCCTGCTTCCTCCCAGGAGGCTGAGGAGGAAGTGTAGGTCCGCAGTCTTAAGCCCACCCTGGTCAGTACTCACTCCTTCTGGAATGCTGAAAGGGAGTTCATTCACAAAATCCCTCTGGCTCCATGGCCCTGTGGCTGCTCCTATCCCCTAAATACCTTGTAAGTCCCTAGAGTCAGATTCCCAGATAAACAGAGATGGCTTAGTTTGGGGAGGAGAGTTTACCTTGGGCCTCTCTCCCACTCTCCCTGGGTGCCTGGACATAAAGGTAGGTAGTGGTGAGCCCCAGAAGAGCTACGAGAGGCTGCTCCACATTCACCTTTTCTTCTTGCCCTTCTCTTTTTCTGAGTAAAGATTCCTATCCAATTTCTGGCTTATTGCCTCTCTAGGCAAGTCTCTGGAAGGTATTTCTGGAATGTCCAGGCTCAGAACTCTCAGCTGCTAAATGTGAAGGTTCACATTAGTACAACCTTTCTGGAAAGACTTTAATCATGCAAGATCAGGAGACTTGCAAAGGTCCCTTCCATCCCACAGTATTTGCCAGCTCTGTCTTCTCCGCAGACTCTCCTCATGGGGGGAGGCCCAGCAGCTCCTAGCTGCCATTCTGCCAGTTTATCAACTACCGTCAGAAGACAGCCTCCCTGTGTCACTGTGTTAGCAGCCCGCCCAGATTGCTCTCCCCCAGCCATGTGCCCACCATGTCCTGGCCCCTGGACTGGGAGATAAGGCTCTTGGCTGGCTAGTGCTGGGTCCCGGCACCAGTAGGTGTTTCCCTAACAAGAATTGAAATCCACTTTTGTCTTCTCCACTGAGCTATTCCATGGTTACCCCTTGGACTGGTTTACCTTGGTGATGGAATTAAATTCATCCATTCAACATATGACAAGCCCTCTGATGCACCAGGCCATGGTAGGGGAGAGAACTAATAAGGATATGCATCTATGTGGTGGTGCAGCAGGTAAGGTGAGGAATGACAGGAGGCAGGCCCGCTGTCAGAGTAGGCAGCAGACACCCCCAGGAGTGGCACTGGAGGAGAAGAATGAAGGAGACAGTATCGGTGTCAGAGTGAGGGGTGTGCTAGATGGCTCATCTGTGATTTTTGGTTGTATTTTGTCAGACAGATTATTTGACCTTCTGTGCCTCTGTTTACTCTGAAAAAAGTAGAAATAATATTAGAAGCCTACTCATATACTTGAGGGGTTAAGTGAGCTGATATATGCAAAGCATTTGAAACAGTGCTTTATCATTTGTTAGTATTGTTGTTGTTTGTCTGGGGAAATATATCCCAGGCAGAAGGCTTAATGGACAGGCTAATTTTTTTTAAAGATTCATTTATTTATGCATACAAGAACATGGGGACAGGCCAGAGGTGCGGGTGGTGAGAGGATCCAGCAGAGACAAAGCAGGGAACAGAACAGGCAGATTGGCCAAAATACACTGCTGAGGGGAGCAGCGGGTGAGCCAGGAGAGGTCTGCTGTGCCATGTGGGTAGCTCCCTGGCCGGGGATTGAACTCATGCTGCAGAGGCTGCGGTCAGCTTCATAGGTTGCGTCTCAACCCCTTGCGCTACCAGGGAGGCCGCTGGACAGGCTATTTTGAGGTAGTTTATCTGTACTCAGAACACATGAGTTAAGAAGGAGCTGATTGGTACAAGGAGGCTTTATTAATAAATCATGACTATCATCTAGGTAGGGGTGGGATTATTGGTTTATTGACATTTTAGCCCATTATATCTGGAACCCTGAGCCAAATCAGGATGCTGTATGTTTCCTGTCATACTGCAGGGCTCCCAACAACTCCGTCAGCCTTCCTTGTCTCTTCTCTCCCCAGGGATTGACCAAGGTCAGATGACTTATGATGGCCAACACTGGCATGCCACTGAGGCTTGTTTCTGCTGTGCTCACTGCAAAAAATCCCTCCTTGGGCGCCCATTCCTCCCGAAGCAGGGCCAGATATTCTGCTCACGGGCCTGCAGTGCCGGGGAGGACCCCAATGGCTCTGACTCATCCGACTCAGCCTTCCAGAATGCCAGGGCCAAGGAGTCCCGGCGCAGTGCCAAAATTGGCAAGAACAAGGGCAAGACGGAGGAACCCATGCTGAACCAGCACAGCCAGCTGCAGCTGAGCTCCAACCGACTGTCGGCTGACGTGGACCCCCTGTCGATGCAAATGGACCTGCTCAGTCTGTCCAGCCAGACACCCAGCCTCAACCGGGACCCCATCTGGAGGAGCCGGGAGGAACCCTACCATTATGGGAACAAGATGGAGCAGAACCAGTCCCAGAGCCCTTTGCAGCTCCTCAGCCAGTGTAACATCAGAACTTCCTACAGCCCCGGAGGCCAAGGGGCTGGGGCCCAGCCCGACATGTGGGCCAAGCACTTCAGCAACCCCAAAAGGAGCTCCTCACTGGCCATGAAGGGGCATGGCGGCAGCTTCATCAAGGAATGCCGGGAAGACTATTACCCAGGAAGGCTGCGATCCCAGGAGAGCTACAGTGACATGTCCAGTCAGAGCTTTAGTGAACCCCGCAGCAGCATCCAAGTCCCCAAATATGAGGAGGAGGAGGAAGGGGGCCTGTCCACGCAGCAGTGTCGGACCCGTCACCCAATCAGTTCCCTGAAATACACTGAGGATATGACGCCCACAGAGCAGACCCCTCGGGGCTCCATGGAGTCGCTGGCCCTCTCAAACACAACAGGTAGGTTCTAAACCCCTGGAAAAAAAGGGTCGCCTCTGGTCGATCCAGTTCTGGTCTTTACGATCTTCATGTTATTCCTGCTGTGTGCCCTCTTGCAACAGGCTGCTGAGCAAAGCGAGCCTGTGTTTTGGATGGCTCGTGTCTCTGATTGGATTCCCTCTAAGCAGAGCCCAGGACAGGGATTGGAATGTCTGTGGTGTGCTGGGGACACGCTCCCAGGAAAGGGAGCAAAAGGAAAGAGAGGCCGGGGGATGAGCCAAGAGAAGAACTATGTCTCCCCTAGAGTCTAGTGTCAGCCTGATTCCAAAGTGTCTCTAGAGAATGAGTCTGACTGAGTAATTGAGTTCCCCCTTCCCACGAAGGGCTGATATTTTACACCACCATTTTGGACAGGCACTGGCTTAGGCTGCTGGGCAGTGATGTGGGTCAAGGTATAGATGTGGGCATGGAGCGAGGCAATTCCTGTTGGCCAAAGGCACCATTCAGAAGGGGCAGCTGGGAGCTGCTGGTAGTTCTCACAAAAGCAGGTGCCACTCAGGCCACCAAAGTATCCATCTGAGGCTGCTCTGAATCTCAGCCTCTCAAAAGGCAGCTGCTTTGAATGTGTAAATAAAGACATAAGGAATGTGGATAGAGCAATAGAAGACAGGCAGGTTGGAAGGACAGAAGTGGGGAGAAAGACAGTCATGTGCCTTGCTCTCTCCCGTCACATTGTCCCGCTGGTTTATATGCATGAGACTGATGTTGGTGTTTTCTAAGGTGGCCCTGCGCAAAGTGTAACCTGAGGATCAGCCCACAGTCTGCAGCAAGATAAATACTGAAATTATTACATTTAGGGAAGCTTACATAACAAGGCCGCACCACCCATTGCATGTGCAGCGGGCTCACCTTATTGGTCAAGGTGCAGACCAGTCAGGGTGTTGTAGCTCCCTCGGGTGAGTTGTGTGTGGCGTGTGCTGTATATCACCGTGCTCAGGAGGGCTACGTATAGTCCTCCTGTATCAGTTCTCAGTGGGTTGAAAATTGAAAACTGGTCCTCTAACATGGGTAGCTTGAGCAGTTCTGCTCTAAGACAGACATGCTAAGTGTATCTTCGCTTATAGGCGGGGCACCAGAGGAGGGAGATGCATGCCTACCCTTCACACCAAGCATCCTGTTGTCAGATGTGTCTGGATGAAGACTGGGATAAACTTGTGCACATGGTTACTGTCCAAAGGTTCAGCAGTTGCTCAGCCCCAGCTTATAGTCACCACGCACAGGGTATTTATTCAGCTAATGTTTATATAGCTCTTCCCATGTACCTCACATTATTCGAAGCAATTTATAAATATCCCAAGTTCTCAAAACCCTGTGTGAGAGAAGTGCTGTTAAAATTCTCACATTGAGGTTGGAGAAATTGAGGCACAGAGGAGATAAGGGACTTGCCTAAAACCCCCCAGCATTCAAGAGGCAAAGCAGGGATTTGAACCTGAGCAATGTGACTAAAGCAATGCTCATTCAAGCAATGATCATCACACCAGGCTGCCAAGTTGATCAGCGCCCCATGCTATGAAACCTTCCAGTCTTTCCAAAGCAGTTAAAAATGTAGATTTTTTTTTAATGAGAAATGTATTTAAACTCGCTGCTAGACAAGCAAAACGTGTTTCTGAGTTGTAGGATACTCTACAGTGTGTTTTTACCTTTCATTCCCCTCAGATGATTTCACATCTGTATTCTCTTCTGTCTGAGAGAACAAATAGTCTTTCCTTCATGTTTCAAATGAAGAAAATGAGGCCTCGGTGACTAAGCACCTTGCCTAATGTCATAGAAGTGAGCAATTAGTGCAGAGTGATGACTGCCTGGCTCCCAGCCCAGTTTGTGCTATTCTCGAAAGATTTATGTGCTATAATTATTTAAAAGGCCAGGAGACAAATATGAATTCGGCCTCTGAAGCAGAGTTTCGCAAAGCTAGACCACCTGCATTAGAATCATCGGGCTGCTTGATTAAAACATGGACTCCCTGCTTCAGTGGTGGGGCCAGAGACCTGCATTTTAACCAGCTCCCTGCTGATGCTGGTGATTGTCTGAGAACAATAGTTCCTGGGTTTGTCTGTTCTGAATTATTATCCTCACACTGTGACTTATGAGGAAATAGAGAGTTCTGGGGCTTGGCAAATGTTGAAAGGCCACCTTGGAAGAAGACACCTTAGCCTCCTGATCTTTTGGAAGAGGTAGGGGATTTATCCCCATGATTTTCTATGGATCCTTATTCTAAACAACTAATACCCCTCTGTGTTTGATATTTTCACCAGAGCCATGTCTGATGAAACTGAGAAAAATCCCTCAGATCAGTACTGTATAATACAGGAGCCAGTAACAACATATGGCTGTTGAAATTTGAATTAAAATTAAATTAAAATTTTGGGACATCCGTTGCATTAGGCACATTCTAAGAGCTTGACAGCAACTGGGCTGAATTTTAAATTTCATTTACTTTTTTTTTTAAGATTTATTTATTCATTCATTCATTCATTTATTTATTTATTTATTTATTTGTGCAAGCCCTGGGTACAGTCAGAAGCATGGGAGGGTGAGAGAATTCACCAGAGTGGGGAACAGAACAGCGGGTTCGGCAGGAGAGGTCTGTTGCGCCATGTGGGACCCTCGCCGGCGGCTGGGGATCAAACCGGTGCTGCAGAGGCTGCGGGCAGCTTCGCAACCCAGTGCTCAACCGCTGCACCACCAGGGGAGGCCCAAATTTCATTTACTTTTAATTAGTTTAAATTTCAAGTGAGGGCCTCCCCGGTGGCGCAGCGGTTGAGCGCAGGGTTGAGAAGCTGCCCGCAGCCTCTGCAGCGCTGGTTCCATCCCCGGCTGCTCCCCAGCCACCAGAGGAGGGTCCCACGAGGGTCCCACATGGCGCGCAGACCTCTCCTGCCGCCCGCTGCTCCCCTCAGCAGTGTACTTCGGTCCTTCTGCCTGCTCTGCTCCCCGCTCTGGCTCTGGTGAATTCTCTCACCCTCCCACGCTTCTGACTGTACACAGTGCTTGTATAAATAAATAAATAAATACATCTTAAATAAATAAATAAAATAAATTTCAAGTGAGTTGTTAGAATGGGCACAATTTTAATCCCATTGTTAGTCTCTTTGGATGCTCTCACGTGAGCCCTGGGTTTTTAGAGCCTTACAGTTGAATACCTATGCAAAGGCAGGAGCTGTGTGGCCTGGAACAAATTGCCTAAGTTCCGTAAGGCTCAATTTCCTCATTTATGAAATTTGGTGAATAATAGTTCTTCCCGTGTAGGGTTTTTGTGAGAATTTCATGATAACACATTTAAACTCTTTCATACACTCCGCGATACATACGGTTCTCCATTGTGATTTCCCGGTACTTTTAATCACTATGATTACCCTCTCCTCCCAAGCAGACTGCTTCAAGTTATTTAGCCCCTAAGAATGCCTTGGCTACTAATGTCTGCCAGCATCCACCAGCCACGCAGGTTTGAGTTTTCAGGTTTGAAAACGTGCCTGTGGGCTTTTTCCCCTCACCAGCATGAGAAACGGGAAACTAAAGAAATCCATTTCGTGCCCTCGTGTTTCCATGGAATTGTCAGACACGACAGCAGAGAAGCATTGTGGCTGATATTCTAAGTACAGCTTCTTGGTTCAGCACTGCAGCAAACCCTAAATAGCCTCTCCCCTCCCACGCACACATGCACACACCACGCGTGTGCTGTTGACGAGACTTGGAAAGTCGGTCTTTTTGCGGTCGGCTCTCACTGTCGCATTTGAATTTTAATAGAAAATTCAGGAGTCTTTTGAGAAGGAGGTGTTCAGAACTGTCTGTGTATCTTTATATCCTAGAATCACCATCTATGAGTAACAGGTACCCCCCACAAAAGGCTTAGTCAAAACACCTGGGTCCTCCAGTGAAAGCTAGATTTCAGGATGATGGATTTTTTTTCTTCTGTGGTCAGTAACTTATGTTATTGAATAAGCCTGTAGTGTTTAATCTGGCATGAAGCATGATCTTTTTGTGGGCAGCATTTAGAACAGATCTGGAAAAACAGAGAGCCCCAGTGGCTTGCCAGCCCCAGATCAGGGCTTTGGCACATCTCGATTTGTTTAGAACTGGGAGTGTACTGTCCCTTCTCCTTGGAAAACACAATCCACCCCTCGTGCTCACACTGAGTGAGTCAGGCCGGCACAGTCACCATTTACACCACCACCATATAGGAGTCTTGCAGAAGAGAAGTTCTTTAACCCTGTGATTGCCTAAGCACACCTCTAAGGCAGCCTGGGTGATCATGCATTAGAAATAGTGATGACATTGACATTAAATATCATTGGGTGTTAGTCATGTGCTAGGTACAGTTCTAAGGACTTTATATGAACTACCTGTGAGACAGGTATCGTTGGTATTCCTGTTTTATAGATGGTACGTGAGGCACAGGAAGATAGGTAGCCCAGTGTCACACAGCTTGCAAAGGAACAGGCGGGACTCAAACTTGGGCATTGTAGCTTCAAAGTCTGTGTGCGAGTGAGGGTGATGCTAATAACTCATGAATCACTGGTGATAATCTTAATGAAGTAAGTGTGTGAAGTATGACCTGACATGCTAATGACAAATAACATCTCTGAATCCTCATAGCAACCTTCTGAGGTGATTCTGATGATTATACCCATTTTACAGAAAAGTAAAGTTCATAGAAGTTGTGACCACCCCATGGTTACCTCCAACAGCCAGGACTTGAACCTGATGTGATTGTTTGTCAAGTCCATGCTCTTGTCTGATATAGATCCTCTTCATGAGGGTCATGATCACATCAGGAGATTTGCACAGTGATTCCATCTGAAAGGACAAGGATCCCTTTCTTTTAGCATCCAGTTTGTAGGTGCGTCTATTTGGCTTTGGCAAGGCTAGAGGGAGGCCTGAAAGCACCAGGCCTGAAAGCAGCAGATGGCAGTGTGAGGTGATGTGCCAGGTCAGAGGCGATGATGGAGACAAGTACAGATTGT